TCAATGTACTACTAATATTATGACGCACAGTCGTCACGTACTTTGTAGTACCGCAATACAAACAAGGCTACCCAGACTAGCAAAGTCGGGAATTTTTTGTTTTATCTAAAATATAAATATTAAATCCTCATGGCTTGTCCACCTATTATATCACCCACATTTAAACATACTCTGATTTCATAGAAATATAATAAATTAAAAAAGTTGGGGTCACCAGCCAAAATTCGGGGAAATGATGGTTGTATTTCAGTTGATAGTGGTCATTTTGTCAGAATAATAACAGTTTTAGCAGGAGGAAGAGATATTATGACATATCTTGACATGATTTGAATGATGGGCTACTTTTTGTTGCTGCTCTGAATTATTTCAAAAATTTGTGTTTTTCATTGACATTGCGGTATCTGGAATTCTTCTAAAAAAAGGCAATTTTTGTGAAAAAATATTACGTTTCTCAAAATACATCACCAAACAGACTGGTTTCAATTTTATTTCCAATAGCACGAATATTGCAACATCGACTATACAATGGGAGGGGGGGTTGTCAATTATCCGTTTGAATCTTATCTGTGTTTGATTCAACAACCCGAGAGCATTGACTGGGTTATTGTAACATTGACAGCGACTTTCCGAGAGTAGTTCCAAGTTACCCATACGTGTGGTGCTGGTATAGCTGGAACCATACATGTTCATAGTGTGGTGCTGGTACAGCTGAAACTATACATGTTCACAGTGTGGTGCTGGTATAGCTGAAACCATACATGTTCACAGTGTGGTGTTGGGCTAGCTGAAACAATACATGTTCACAGTGTGGCGCTGGTATAGCTGAAACCATACATGTTCACAGTTTGGTCTTGGTCTAGCTGAAACCATACATGTTCACAGTGTGGTGCTGGTATAGCTGGAACCAAACATGTTCACAGTGTGTGCTGGTATTGCTGAACATACTTGTTCACAGTGTGTTGCTGGTATAGCTGGAACCATACATGTTCACAGTGTGTTGCTGGTACAGCTGAAACTATACATGTTCATAGTGTGTGGCTGTACAGCTGAAACTATCATATTCCCAGTATGGGGCTGGTATAGCTGAAACCTCACATGTGCATAGTGTGGTGCTGGTATAGCTGGAACCATATATGTTCACAGTGTGGCCTCGGCCTAGCTGGAACCCATACATGTTCACAGTGTCATGCTGGTATAGCTGAAACCCATACATGTTCACAGTGTGGTGCTGGTATAGCTGAAACCATACATGTTCACAGTGTGGTGCTGGTATAGCTGAAACCATACATGTTCAGTGTGCTGCTGGTATAGCTGGAACCATACATGTTCATAGTGTGGTGCCGGTATAGCTAGAACCATACATGTTCACAGTGTGCTGCTGGTATAGCTGAAACCATACATGTTCACGGTGTGGTGCTGGGCTAGCTGGAACCATACATGTTTACAGTGTGGTGCTGGTATAGCTAGAACCATACATGTGCACAGAGTGGTGCTGGTATAGCTGGAACAATACATTTTTGTTTTTGTTGGACGTTCAACCGAACTTTGAGTTATGGGAAAAATAAAACGTTAAACAAAACAAAAAATTTATGCTGCCCATAACTTGAAATGTGGTCAACTGTTTTTTAAAGTATGGGTCACTAATTTGGGCATGGTTTCTCATAATTGGGAGTGTTTTCTAAAATATGAGTGTGGTAATTTTTGTAACCATGTTTTCAGCATCTTGGACTAGCTATCTCATACAATTCAGCCTGATTAAGACAATATTTTCCACTGGTTTTTCTTTCTGCTTCTCATAGAAACATTTAAAGATTAGTTGCAGGAGTCTACAAATAACACTGTATAATTATTAATTTGGTCCCTAAACAAAGGCAACTCAACAGAAATATTGATTGATCACATAAGATGGTTTTTATAGATTATGCTATGGGACTGCATATAAGTGGACATTCAAGGCAAGTTGACACTAATAAAGGATTCACTGTAATAAATAATCAGGACCATAACAAAGCATTAGTGGAGTGATGCATATGATTGTAGATGAAGAATAGGTTATCAAGTTGGAACACAAGAACATCACAATGCAGTAGTATAGATTTCATATTTTAATAAGTATATAATTAAAATTAATTACAAGCAGTCTTTATAGTGTCACTGAGTCAGTAGTACTTTCTACATTGTTTTCAACAGATTCTTCTAGTGATACACTTGTCCTAGATTTTTTGAAGAAACGATGAATACGCTTCTTGAGAGAAGGTGATTTACGTTGATTCTTATTTTTAATTGGTTGATCAGCTTTGTGTGAATTGGAGCTTTCTGCAAATATTTCCCGGGTGTCTGGTGTGCGAGACTTTGTTGTTGATATACATGATAGACGGAGGCATTTTCTTGCCCTGCAGAACAAACCATGTTTCTTGGCAGGTGATATGCTTTGGAGAGATGTTTTTGAAGAAGATAGACTTATATCTTCAAACGCCTTGGCAGATACATCAGTATGTGAAACACTTTCTACAGATGAATTACAACTGTCTTTATCTGTACTCTGTGTAAATTCGGCACATGAATTTCCACTCTCTGAAAATTGGTCAGAAGAATCAATGCTCTCTTCCAACAGGTGTTCAGATTTCCCACTGTCTGCACCAGCACTTTGAACTGTCATATCTACTGCAAGTGGAGATTTCCCACTGTCTGCATCAGCATTTTGAGCTGCCATACCTACTGCAAGTGGGGTATTCCCACTGTCTGTACCAGCACTTTGAGCTGCCATATCTACTTCAAGTGGAGATTTCCCACTGTCTGCACCATCACTTTGAGCTGCCATATCTACTGCAAGTGGGCTATTCCCACCGTCTGCAACAGCATTTTGTGCTGCCATATCTACTACAAGTGGGGTCTTCTCACTGCCTGCACCAGCATTTTGAGCTGCCATATCTACTTCAAGTGAATATTTTCCACTGTCTGCACCAGCACTTTGAGCTGCCATATCTACTGCAAGTGGGCTATCCCCACCGTCTGCAACAGCATTTTGAGCTGCCATATCTACTGCAAGTGGGGCCATCCCACTGTCTGCACCATCACTTTGAGCTGCCATATCTACTTCAAGTGGAGATTTCCCACTGTCTGCACCATCACTTTGAGCTGCCATATCTACTGCAAGTGGGCTATTCCCACCGTCTGCAACAGCATTTTGTGCTGCCATATCTACTACAAGTGGGGTCTTCTCACTGTCTGCACCAGCATTTTGAGCTGCCATATCTACTACAAGTGGGGTCTTCTCACTGTCTGCACCAGCATTTTGAGCTGCCATACCTACTGCAAGTGGGGTATTGCCACTGTCTGCACCAGCACTTTGAGCTGCCATATCTACTGCAAGTGGGCATTTCTCATTGACTGCACCAGCACTTTGAGCTGCCATATCAACTGCAAGTGGGGTATTCCCACTGTCTGCACCATCACTTTGAGCTGCCATATCTACTGCAAGTGGGATATTCCCACTGTCTGCACCATCACTTTGAGCTGCCATATCTACTGCAAGTGGGCATTTCTCATTGACTGCACCAGCACTTTGAGCTGCCATATCAACTGCAAGTGGGGTATTCCCACTGTCTGCACCATCACTTTGAGCTGCCATATCTACTGCAAGTGGGATATTCCCACTGTCTGCACCATCACTTTGAGCTGCCATATCTACTGCAAGTGGGATATTCCCACTGTCTGCACCATCACTTTGAGCTGCCATATCTACTGCAAGTGGGATATTCCCACTGTCTGCACCATCACTTTGAGCTTCCATATCTACTGCAAGTGGGGTATTCCTTCTGTCTGCACCATCACTTTGAGCTTCCATATCAACTGCAAGTGAGGTATTCCCACTGTCTGTACCAGCACTTTGAGCTTCCATATCTACTGCAAGTGGGGTATTCCTTCTGTCTGCAGCAGCAGCATTTGGAGCTGCAATTTCCTCTGCGAATGGATTTCTAATTT